ATATTCTACTCGTTCTTTTGAGGGACATGAAGGCATAGAACGTCAATAAGCTCAACACTTAACTCTGTGTAAATCAACGACAATGCAGAAGTACCCTGTTCCGCCTTCTGCACATTCAATATCGCTCGGGCACACAGTCTATAAGTTTTGAGGTGAAGTGTGCTTTCATTTTTTCATCTCACTTCCCTGTTTGCATTTAGCTGCACAAACAACGAGGTCCAACGACTCACGCACGTCTCGGGTGAGGCTGCTCGGTCTACCTTCACAGGGGCTGTTTGTCACGGATATCAAGCCATCTCCATTGTGGCGTGGCATTGCTGTGAGTCTAACGTCTCTACCGGATTGACAACCTTGCGTTAGTAGGTCAGACCCTCACAGCTGTTCGATTGCTATACGACATAATATTTTATTCAAAGCTATGTGAATCGGATGCGCTGGGTAAGGAAAGATTCTCACCTCAAAGCAAACAATGATGAACAGTGTCGTTTGAAAATGGAAAAAAGTTTGGCGCAGCATTAGAGTGAAATCTCACCTTCTTATCTAACAAGTCATGTATAAACTAGTGGAGATATCTTGTAAGTGCAATAGGTAAAATGAACCGTGTATGGTACAATGTCAGTCGCAATTGAAGCAGGGCATCTTTAGTAAATCATAAGTGTTGCCTTGGCTGCTGCCGTGGTATTCCTGCGGCTTCGTCCACGAGTTGCGATAACGTGATTGCAAGGTCATATCCATGTCCACGCTAATAATACAGACAAATCCCCTCCCAAACAAAGACCTGCAGCGACAAATCTATGTTTTTTTCTCTTCCGCTATAAAACTATGGCATCCTAAGTGGAAACGCCAAAATAATCGCATTGACTTGTGCTGCAATCCTTCACTCGCAGAGGACTTCGTTAATTTCTCCTTCGTTAGACCATTTAGAGCAAAATACCAATTCAAATTATTGGGTTTTCTTTAAAAGGGCAAAAAAATGATTAGATCCTTGACTCCAAAGGAATTTAAGCAGAAAATATATTTTTTGGTGTTCTTAAATTAGAGGGAGATTATTCGACCAATTTTTTTTAGTAGGTCTTATCAAACAGCCTCCTGCAGACAACCACCCCACAGCCATCAGCAACTTCCCGAGGAAATGCTTTACTGGTAAAACAAGTTGCTCACTGCTCTGACCGACAAAAAATGATTCGAATACCACTCTTTTGGTTAGGGTTTTGAAGTATTTGTTTGGTTTACATGAAGTAGCAGTAATTCCACTCGGACTTATTTTATACCGGCTGGGACAATTAAATAAACGTGAAAAATATATTTGCTGCCAGAAAACAGTCCTAAAACACACTATATGACACTTGTACTGGATGTATAACCTGAGTAGCCAAATACCGTTCGTTACTGAATTACAGCAACTGCTGAAATTTCCTTTTATCGCCAAGTGGTGACTGATGTTGAACTTCCTCGTTGCCAGTATTTTGAATTCGACAGGTTAAATTTTTCCCTAGAAATTTAACTGAGACTATTCGTGGGACTTTAATTACTGACAACAATGATGGTTACTTCTAAAGAGAGTAACATGTCGCCTCTTACCTAGGCAAACTAATTCAAAATTAGCAGGGTGCTCGCTGCCTCGCAGGAAAAAGGATTTAATCACCAAACTTTCAAATAGGGTTAGGGCAAATTATTTAGCATAAAAATTGTTGGGAGGATTTACCTATTATTGTTTTCATAATTATTCTTTGATTTGTTTCTTACCCACATGTGTAAGTGGGTGAATTTTTAAAGGATCCATTCGGAGTGCAAAGTAAAGTTTATTCTTGCAGGAGCATTTTAAAAATACTTAACGAGTCTGAAGTTAGCATTAAAATGACAGCG